CAACACTCTTTCCAGCTGTTTTGCATATACGCCAAGTACACAAATCATCAGAACTACGGCAGAAGTCCGTAGTTAAGTAACAAGGGAGTGTTTTTCGGCTGCAAAGCTTTTCCGGTGCACAGCTGCCATGCCACCCGAAAGAAGCATAAAAGTTAACGTACTGTCAGGTTGTCCCTTTCTGGAAAGATACAATCGAGAGACCACGAACTTTCGGGTCATTAAGTTCGCACCTCAACCGGTGAACTATCTCAAACTCAGACCTGAAGTTGCTGTTAGGTAACGCGATCAATATCGTTGTACAATTCATCCACTTTTTCTCCTAAATGGTACTTACCTCATCGTTTTCCCATTCTTTCAAAACTGAACCGTTTGTACGCGACTTGCATACAGATGACTAGTCTGAACTGGACCGCGTACATCACTGGCACCGCATAGGTTATTGGAAACACAGCATGTGCCGTGATCCGCTCATCCCAACGTTTCTGTTGAAAGCTGGACGAGCTTCCTCATAATGAAGTGTTCCAATAACTCCTTAACCTACCGATAAAAGTATTGTTTCATGGAGCTGTGAACATCTTCAACAGCAACGAAACCAAAGCCAGTTTAAACCAATTCACGTGAAGACGCGCATATTTGTCTCGCCTTCGGAGGGTACTGGCATCACAAATAATTATGAAACTCCCAATATTTTGCCGACGAAAATATAAGTAAAGTACTGCGTGTCTGAGCAAACACGTTTGCTAAGGTTTATTTGTTTACTGAACCGGTGTCTATCCGCATTCAAAGAGAAGCAGTACGTTGAGACGTGTGAAGTAACGTGCTTTGTCATTAACGAAATGGCTCAACACCATGGCCTTACTTTTGTATGATAGTGAACAGCCACTTCAACATGTGCTTCAACATGTACATGTTCACTCTTCACAGATATGGTAGAACTGCCTCTATGTCAGGATGAAGGCAGGCATTTTTAACCTCACTCGTCTACCGATCCCCTTACCTGCAGTTGGTCCAAAATACTGTTTATCAAGCGAACCTGCCAATCGTTCCTTCACTTATAATTGATGTTGATAGAGACTGGAGCGATTGAAAAAAACAATTGGTATGTAATTGCAAACGACTAAACCGACTTGACTGAATGGAAGAACAAAGGCGAATTGGCTTCTACACTTATTTATGACAGAAGTCACATAAAACGAACCTGGCTAATGCTCAGATCTGAATCCAAAGTCAACTAGAGCTACTGTTTTTCCATGAGATTTCCTATCAGCACAACCCTGCACCTCTAAAGAAAACGAACAGACCGGTAGAATAGCATTATTCAAGGGAAATTGGATGTCTTCAGCGGCAGCATATTATTCAATTGCCCCTTTGAAAAAAAAAAGTTTTCCTTGCCCGGTAATTAAGAAGCCCCGTGCTCATCCGTGTGACACGTTTTCATGAACCACATGTGAACCGCTTCTCGCATAATTTCTTCAATTTGCCGTTTTTCTCATCTAGCCGAACTCGAAGGCACCGGTACTTCAGTATACCACCGACAAGGTCACGTACCTGTATTTTCCCCATACCCCCTGGTTTTCAGACACACGCAGTTTGTTTGACAGTGTTTCTTGTTTTCCATCAGAACAATCCTGTAAGTTTAGAACCAGTCGTTTGGGAATGCCCTCACCGTACATGAATGGAAGGGCAGTAATAGCGAGTATGTCGCTGGGCATTCGCAGAAGTCTCCAGTCCTTCTAGTGTCTCCTTGTAACTGTTCCGACCAGCTGACACGTCGAAACATTGAACAGACCCCCCACCTTTGGTATCTTTCTGACATGGAATACATTAGGCGAGACAGCTCTTGGCAGTCAGGTGTGTTCGCTTCAGTTTCCGTGTTCCCCACGACCTTCGCATCTTAGGATGGTTAGACCCAATGTTTTTGAAGCCTGGGCAATAAAGAATTTCATGATAGTCTGTTGACTGACGCAGCCTATTATACAACAGAGCACGACCTGGAACTGGCGACAATTTTTCCCGATACATGTAATCGTCCGCCAGTTTAGAACTTAGCGCACTCAGGAATGGTCCACTGGACTCCGACTGATCTTGGCAATACCTTATTTGACTTAAGTAGCGCAATTCAGTGTGAAACAAGAAAAACTACCCACCTGCTGATAAGCCTTTTAAAACGACAGTGCAGTTGGCGTCTTTACTTTGGAATAATGAAGCAACTGAAAGGTGGTGCAGTGTGTCAAAACCTGAGCTTGAAAGCACACATTCGGGCAACACACGTACAGTTTATCCTTGCCGATAATGATGCTGTGTAACAATGAGAAATGGCCAATCAAAACCCTGAAAATCAAACAACTAGGAATGAGGCATCATGATGACTGTTTAAACCACGTACACTATGCAAGGTCGATGCGATTGAAAGGATGGACCTCTAAGTGATCCTCAAGTGACTGATGTCAGCACAACCAATCGAACGGTTATGCCCTCATTCGTTTCCACCTACTCAATCAATTGAGTAAACTGGAGACGAGTATAAATCTTACGGAAAAACGGATCCGCAGCCCTGAGTGCGACGGCTTATCCAAGGCTGAACTATGCTTACCAAAGTATCGTAGAGAAATGCAAAAATCTAACGGCGATGCATACCTCCTGTGAGCAATTTGGCTTGGAGCTGACAATAATCCCATTTATTGTGAAACTGATCCGCCGGCCATATATGGTCACATAGTTGGACACAGTGAAGGAATTTAGTGACTAATGCTGTTGTGTGAAGTATGTAGAGAAAGCCATCGAGTCTCGCAGACTGTCAATCATGAAAAGTGAGTTGTTCATGCGGACATGTTTACAAAATTGTGAACAAACAGAAGCGGGATGAGTGAGCCCAGAGACATAGTTCGTCAGAAACAAACCGTAGATGGCACATAAAACCCTGTTAACAGATAAACGAGTCAATGACTGCATTGCATTATCTCGTAGAACCAGAACGCGAAGTAAGTGGGCATATAAGGCCTAACGAAAATATGCAGCGTCTGCTTTTTACAACCCAGTAAAGATGGGCATGCATACAAGTCAAACTCTAAGTCAGACTGGTACGGTAACAATGGAGAGAAATCGTGAAATAACCTCAAATAGGTGATGCAGATCAGTCGGCAGGAATACAGGGAACTGTACGAAGGGAGAACGAACAAATTTCGGGTAGAGCTCATCTCCGACGATTGTTGCGCATATCCTTGCCCGTCCCGTAATCGGACCGGTAACGATGAATATTCTTTGCGACATCGTCAGAGTCGTCACTATCTTCATCCTCATCGTTTGAGTCGTCTTCCTCGTCTTCATCCGACCCGGATGCGTCATCTTCACCATCCTCTTCAAACAAAGCTGCGTTTGCATCGAATTCGATGTCGTTATTTTCCTCCAACTTCACGGTGTCTGGAATTTCGCCTGTAGTAGAAAGTGACGCAGGTGAACGGATCACAAAAGAAATTACGAGAGCTTGTGAAGACTCTTAACATATACAGGGGTAAAATTTCCTTACCCAGTGATTTCAAAGTTCGAGCTTCGTCGTTTAAGTACTTCATGATCACATCAGCCTTTTTGTCCTGGTAGTCCCTCAAACCGACGAGAATAATATCACCGTTGCTGATCCACACCTAAGGTAAGAACATTTCAGCGGATAAGTAAGGAAAAGTACAAAGCAAAATCTCATAAGGGAAGTAACAGGGCGATTGGTAGTTGGATAGATCAAACCGGATGGGCCACTGACTCACGTAAAAACAACCTAGGGCCAAACCCTCCTTAGTCACAGTTTCCGTGGATATCGGTCAACGTCTTGATGCTACAGGGGGCGAGACGGCCGAAGTGGTTGAAGCGCGAAATTACTGATCGGAAGGTCCGTGGTTTGAATCCGCCCTCTACCTCTCGACTTCCCCTGTCTAGGCTTGGGCAACCTGGCAGTATCCCAGCCATCGTGCAACCTTCTGGTGCAATGGCAGTTAGGCACCGGAAGGGTGCTACAGCTGAACGATCTTGATGCTACATAGGCTTTTGTTCCACAAACAAATACGTCGAGACAATGTCCCTTAGAGATCCGCCAGCTGAACCACGGCGGCTTGGTAGCTTCACCAAACTGTAGCAGAGGAGGATTCAATCTAATAATAGCAGTCACAAGGTGAACCAAAATGACGCAAGTAAAACAGTGGATCCCTCTGTTCTACCAAGAAAAAGCACGCCAATAGGGAGATGCTAATATTCCGCATCAGTAAAAGCGAAAACCGATAACTGAACGAAACCCGTTGTTTGAGTACATTAATCAGGGTCAACTGTCGGCTACAAAAGTACATATGCCTATTCGGTCTATACTGCCGAATGCGCACTTGTTTAGTGCGGGTTCGCGTTGACGTAATGTAATAAGATTGAGAAAGACACTATTCAGTCGGTCCGATATGAACATGCTGCTAGAGTGATGATGATGGCTTCCATATCTTGCCACGAGCATTCATCCGCTGAACCTTACAGTTCAGCTGTGCTTTGGGCGAGATGGCTTAGTGGTCAATGTACGAACTTATTGACCAGAAGGTCTGTTGTTTGAACCCGACCCCTGCGTCTAGACTTTTCCTGTCCAGGCTTGGGCAAACTGGCAGTGTTCCAGCTCTCGTGATTCCTTCGGGTGGCATGGAATCTAGACACCGAAAGGGTGTTACACGTGAACGATTATTTTTTATTATTTTAAGTGATAACAACATACCATCCACAAAACTGTTTCCTCCGTTAGTCTCTAACGGGTCACAATTTCATTCGCGCCAATGTATAAGGCAGCCAGTCTTGTTTACTGATCACAAGGGATGTGATGTGGGGATAGTCTCGCATCGAATACGAAAGCAAGTATATATTATACCGCAAATGTGTTACTGTGAAGACTTTGGGAGAGAGCGACATTGATGCTGACACTTATCGTTCACTGGCCTATGTCAAGTATTCTGAGGTGCCTACACCTCCAAGCGCTCACTAAGACCATCAGGAAAGACACTAACACCACGGACGCCACTGATTTCGATTAGCCACCGTTTCTTGCAACCTCTCCAGCCAAGCACAGGTGGGGTCACGGGGAACTCATCCTGGGAAGCGTATAACACAAACCACATACAAACTCCTCGTAATCTCTTTCACACCCTTCCGCAAGTCATACGTTATCCGCCTCGCGGTCCGCATGCATAGCACATGACCAGGCCATCGTAGTCGGTCGTGCTGGATGTTTTCCCCGATTGAAGTTCCTGCCGCAAAACCGAATAACCGCTCTCTAGAAACCGTTGACGCCATCCGAAACCGCCAACGCTTCTGAGTCATCGGTAGTGAAAAACCTGAAGAGGGGTCATATCTATGTCCGCAGAGACAACGCCTCGCACCCATACAACGACGCAACCCTGTAGCAACTATAGCCTTGTACACGCGACTCTCCGGACCCAGTGATATGTCTTTTTCACGCCACAAGTCAGGCGAATTGGCAAACATGATTCGGGCCTTTGAGATTCGTGCACTGGCTTCAACAGACACATTGCCATCAAGGATAATAATAGGACTACCGAGGTATGTAGTGTTCCACGATCTCCAGTGATTCTCCTTGAATTGTTAGGTGTATGTTTAGAGACTGCACCTTCTGAAGCATGACTTTGCACTTTGAAGATGCAAGACGCATGCCGAAAGATGGCATGACGGTGGTCAGTCTGTTCAACAGGGCTTGTGCTTCGCTTTGGTTTTCAAACGTGAGGGCGATGTCACCTGCGAGCTCCAGATCTATAAGTCTCTCACCAGCAACAATTTGAATATCGGGGTTTTCTAGACCTTCCAGTGTTCGCCTCATTGTTCCATCAATGATGAAGTTGAACAAGAATGGAGAGAGTAGACTTCCTTGCCGGACATCACTTTTCGTAAAGTAGCTTTCGGAGAGTTCACCGTACACTCTCACACGCCCAGAAGTATATGAATATAGGGGTCGGATTGTGTTGACAAACTTCTGAGACATATCCTGTTGAGCAAATGTGGTTAACAGTACTGATCAGTCGACAAAATCGAACGCCGCAGCCTTTGAAGTCAATGAATACGTAAGGGATTGCTCTAACACCTGATAGAGTGTGAAGACGTGGTCAAAGCAGCCTCTACCCGGTCGAAATCCCGCTTGATCCCCACGGGTCAAGGTTTCGCACGCGTAAGACGACGAAGAATCAGTGAGGTTAGAAGCCATGTCACAACAGGAGTCAAATTAACACCTCTGTGATTAATACATCCACTGAGAGTACCTTTTTGGAAATGGGTACTATAATCGATTCCCCCCAATTGTCTGAAACGGTCGCCTTCACCCAGATAGACCCAACTAGGCTAGATGGGGATGGGCTGAAAGGCCCACCGCCATCCCTGAAAAGAGCAGATGGAAGGTCGTCAGAACCAGCTGCACGATGACACTTGGGTAGAGAAATACATTCGGATAGTTCTGAGGTTGGAGGCGGCCCCATATCTATCGCCCACCTTTCTGTTGAAGGCCAGGATTCTGGATGGGAGGTCGCAGGTGGCCAGCTGAATCGCTGATCAAAGTACCGTGCCCAGCGGTCCAAACGTTCCGCTTTGCTACATATCGGGGAGCCCTTTTGGTCTCTGATTATTTCGCTGACAAGAGGTTCCCAAGAACAGTCGAACGGACCAATTGAAACAGCTTTCAGATATTTCCAACAATCTTACCTCGGGGCAGATCGATAGGGTATATACGAATAGTCTTTTCGTTTCACAGCTGTTTCAGTGAGAGGCATGCCGTTAGGATGTAGGTTGAAGATGACCTACCAGCTGGATGGCCTTCCAGCTGGTAGGCCATCTTTCTCATCATTCTTCCACCGATGACGAAGCTGAACAAGAACGGAGGGGGTGGGCCTCCTTGTCGTACCCCACTTTTTGTAGCGAAGCTTTCGGTGAGCTCACCGTACACTCTCACACGCCCAGAAGTATATGAATATAGGGGTCGGATTGTGTTGACAAACTTCTGAGACATATCCTGTTGAGCAAATGTGGTTAACAGTACTGATCAGTCGACAAAATCGAACGCCGCAGCCTTTGAAGTCAATGAATACGTAAGGGATTGCTCTAACACCTGATAGAGTGTGAAGACGTGGTCAAAGCAGCCTCTACCCGGTCGAAATCCCGCTTGATCCCCACGGGTCAAGGTTTCGCACGCGTAAGACGACGAAGAATCAGTGAGGTTAGAAGCCATGTCACAACAGGAGTCAAATTAACACCTCTGTGATTAATACATCCACTGAGAGTACCTTTTTGGAAATGGGTACTATAATCGATTCCCCCCAATTGTCTGAAACGGTCGCCTTCACCCAGATAGACCCAACTAGGCTAGATGGGGATGGGCTGAAAGGCCCACCGCCATCCCTGAAAAGAGCAGATGGAAGGTCGTCAGAACCAGCTGCACGATGACACTTGGGTAGAGAAATACATTCGGATAGTTCTGAGGTTGGAGGCGGCCCCATATCTATCGCCCACCTTTCTGTTGAAGGCCAGGATTCTGGATGGGAGGTCGCAGGTGGCCAGCTGAATCGCTGATCAAAGTACCGTGCCCAGCGGTCCAAACGTTCCGCTTTGCTACATATCGGGGAGCCCTTTTGGTCTCTGATTATTTCGCTGACAAGAGGTTCCCAAGAACAGTCGAACGGACCAATTGAAACAGCTTTCAGATATTTCCAACAATCTTTACATCTTCCATTTCTTCGAACTTTCGAGTCCACCAAGCTTCGCGATCTGCACGGAAACTCAGTTTCACCTGGCGAAGGGTGATATGTCAGGTGGAGATGTGTTTGAGACCAGGAGGAATCTGTCACCAGATCTCCAGCATGACACGCTCCGATCAGAGATGCAATGTTTGGACGAGGCTGGTTGGGTTGTACCGCAAACAGACCTTCCGCCAGGCGTTCAAGGAGCTGGTTCTGATAGTCACGTGTGTGTGCGTTTTGCGTGTTCTTGAAAGGCGCAAGCAAAAGCAGCAGCGTAGAAGCGCATGGTTGGAGTTCACGCTGAAGTTCCAGAAGGAGCGGCCACCGTAACTGACAGTAATGTGGTCTATTCAGATTTGGGGCTGGTTTTCTGGTGGACATCTCGTTGTCAAGCGATTTTCACGGTTCCGGAAGTTCGTACTGCAAAGGAACAGTCTGCGATCGGCACATATCTGAAGTGAGCGATCACATTGTCCACCCGTCCCGTGTCCAATACAGGACAACCACCCAATCGGGCCTCATCGGCGCTTAGTCTGCATACCTGTGCGCTCATGTCACCAGCAACCACAACCTTAAGACAGCGGTGTTAGGCTGGAAACCCGAGTATATTACCAATTTTACGGAACTCGTCGCCACACATGTTACAACCCCCAACCTGGACAGCCAGGAGACTGTGTTCGTCAGACCTCTACCCACTGACCTACCTGTTATGAGACTGTGTCGCTCAGACATCCCCCCAGTATAGCTCAATGGGTCACCGAGGTATAAAAACCGTCACAGCACGGTTTCGGAGGAATGGACACAAGTTAGTTATTTAGCAGCGTCACTAGCCCTGACACAGAAAGCTGATCCGGTGCATTACTAGGGCACGAGTGCCGTCGAATGGTTGACAACAGGAAAACTGACAACCCTCACCGATGCTACGTTTATCCACGAGAACCTACAAGCATAACCACCGGGTTATCGGTAACACTACATAACCAAAAAGGGGCTTCATATGAAAGGCTGCTTCAACACGCGAGGTAAATAGCTTAGCCAACACCACCCACGGAGTACGATAGCTCATCTACCGTGTTTTGAACAATTCGGCTACCGTTAACAGCCGATTTGGCCAATTCAAATAGCTCGGCCGACTAAAATGGAATGCCAGCCACCGAAGACGCATGGCCTGTTCCCTGTATTTGCATATGCCACAATTCTCGCCAGTGATACCACGAATTGTAAATACTCCTCTTACCGTCATTGGTGATAGCATCATGAACGCGTTGAGTGTCATGTGCTTAAAACGAGACGAATGGACACATCATGCTACCCTTGATCCCTTCTTAATGACCCAACCGGACAATCACACTATTACCCATTCTGTTCACTTGGTTATTCTGATCACTGCTTTATCAATTTACTCCACTGGTTTTCTTCCAAAACCCACTTTCTCCTCGTGTCTTATATCCCGCTGACTTAGAATTTTCGGCAATTATCTCTGGGAACGTCGTTCTTCAGAGTATTCTCCATTGTTCGCAGATCAGTTTACTACTGTATGAGCTGGTTTATTCCCGTTTTGAAATCATGAAAACAATCAACCCCAAATAGCTTAACTATGCGTGCCTTGAGATCATAAAGAGAAAAGATTGAACAGACGTTGGCAAGTGCATTCTTAGTCCTTGATAACGTTGCTGCGGGTACTGCTTGCCCAAATACGGTCGACAGAGTCAAGTATTAATTCATTACATGAAAGACATCCTACCTATTGGAAATACCAATCGGAAGTCGTTCTTTCTGGAGCCTGTTCAGAGCAGTCACTCGCAAAATTTCTTTATCTACACTTCCTTCCACACTAGAATTGACAGATCGCCTCGCAAGAAAAAACCAAACATCCTCACTCAAACTTTTGCCTTCAATTCGCATCTTTATCCACTAGCTTCGTGCCAATTTATTCAGGCACTCCAACCCACTTACATTTGCAAATTATCACCAGGGTTGTGTGCGTCTCTTATCGGAACTTAACACTTCCAAACCAACTTCCTCGGATGGTATTCCTCCCGTTTTGTTCCGTAATTGTGCTCCTGAACGTGCCCAGCGCTCTGTTTAACTCCGACTGTGCAACAACCGGATACATTTAGCAGCACTATGCGGTCAAAGGATTCCCATGGTTTCAGGAGTCAGAATTGTGAAAAACGATCATTGATGAATACCCACTGATCGTCCGTCTATCACCAGATCCATGACGACCTTCTGATTGAAATTCATTAACTGCGGGTCCGTGTGCTAGCGTGTCAGTGGCAACGACAACAATGTGTGAACTTGTATACTGCTGCAAAGGATCAGCCACTGCGTCGGAAAGTATGTCTTGACAGCATTCGAAGCAAAACTTTTTTGGATCACAGGCAAACGAAAATTATCCAGCGGAAGACCTCTCATTTTGATACTTTTAAAGAATTGGCCCAACGAACCGAAAAGAGGCGAGTACGAAAGGGTATTCAGCCAAACAGAGGTGCCTCTGCTTGACGGAACGACAACCTGAGACCCAGAAAATCCATCAGCAGCGGTCTCTGGATTATCAGAGGAGCGCTGCCAAGAGCAAGAAAAGTGACAAAGTTGTCAAGCAAATTACAGCATTCGTGTCCTCAATCCAAAGTGGAGGGAGCCCACAGTAGATCCTGCTCTGCTGGCTTCAGAATTTGCGTGGTAAATGCAACCAAACGAAACGGGCTTCAGGGGTTAAAGCTTTATTTCAAGGTGCATAAAGGGTGATAAGACAGGGACGTGCAGTTCTCAGAAGGGTAGTACATGGCAAATAGAGTCCTCAGTCTTAGTAGTGAGACGCATAAGGTAATTTCAGTGAAATGACTAGAGGAGGGTGAGATAGATGAAAGTGAAAGTTCTTAGGCGAAAGCTACACTACTACTACTACTACTACAACCGAATAACAAACAAAAACGCATGAGTTATCCAGAATGTTCATACTGTGAGGCAGTACAGAAACAGTACGAGAACGTAGGTGTCCAGAAGGTCACAACTGCCAAGATGGGCTAAAATCCTGTGAGCTGAATCTTTTGGAGCTTGGTCCAGTTCAAGAATATGGGAGCAGACGTTCACGATCTCCAACAGGAGCTGAGAGAACGATCACTTCTGATCGCGCACTGAGTCAAGAGCCAGTTTTCATATGAAAGACTGTGACAGTGATTTAAGGGCTCCCTGGTGCTCAAACTAATGGGAAAAGTGAATGCGTCACTTGTGTTACACTATGGCGCCACCAGATGACGGTTCCAATAGGTGGACAATACCCATTTGGTCAATGTCCAGAAAAACACAACTGACCTTTTTGCGTAGCTTTCCGCGGATGTGACATAGCCGCTTCACGCCGTCGAAGCAATAGGCTTCTAAGCGTCCGTTCCCAAGTAGTCGTTCGACTTTTGCGTATTCTACAAAGAGCGAAATTGAAGACAAATAGGTTGTCAACTCAGGTGGAACAACCTGATGGGTACAGATAAGTATCAAGAGTAGTCAGAAAACGAATTTGCTGACTGGAAGGGCCCTGGTTCGAACCCGATCTCTGCATCTCGAACTCTCCCTCGATATATATATATACATATATATATGTATATATATATATGATATAAAGTTTTTCAGTTGCAAGGTCTGCGGAGAATACTTCGGATCCAATGGTCAGGTAAAATCTGGAGCATTGGGGTTCTCAAATGTGTCAACGGAACGGAACCTTGATCCTAGCTAGGGCAAAAAGCCAAGTAAAACCAATGACCAAATCCCGAAGCATCTCATTTATGGTTACTTGAGGGATTGGGCTAGAACTCCGAAATCCCACTATTGCAAGCCCACAGGTAGGTCATAAAAACAGTTATCTTGGTCTCGGATCTTGGGAGAATCTAGTACTTGACGAAGCGGCCTGGAGAACTGCCGCCTGCACAGCGCATCATTGGTAATGGCCGTACAACGTCCGCCCACATCCCTGAGTAGAACCACACACGTCGGTCATCACGCTAAAAGGCCATGACAGTACCAATGAGTTGCCCCCTCCCATTTCTAAGCAGAACGTGCCGAAGTCTGATCCAACTGTCGATCGTCTGCAAGACTCGCCCGTTATACTACGAGATGACAGCACTGGTAGGTATCCGATCACGGCTTTGCTGTCAATAAAAAAGGTTGTTCACCCTTCCGATGCCAAGCTGCCATGCTACCCGAAGCGCGAAGATCCTGAGATGCTGTTGCCCAAAGACGGACGGTTGAGAAGCCCGGATTGTAGTAATTTGTCTGAGGAATTGTAGCGGCACACTGGAACTTAGACGAATGGACGGATAAAGCCAGCGCCTGGCTGTGGAACTAGTGCTGGTGCTTATCATCAAATCACCATGCTTATGATGGCTGCTGGCTCTCGTATGTTTGTCCGCCAACTTTATTCTATCGGGCTCGAATAGGCCCCAAAAACTGGCACGCGGTACCCCTCCGCAGACATTTAGTGGATCGATTTATGTTGACTGGCAGGTCTATTTCGGATACCAGTTAACCACCATATTTATCACTGACAATATCAATTTTTTGCTGGTTCCTAGTTGCAGTTATTAGGGAATGCCTCAGTGAGAACTGGGAAGCAAAGGAGCTATTCACTATGGATGGACACTATACCACAGGAGGCAGTGAGTACTCCTTAGATAAGGTGCAGATGAAGTTGTGCGAGGGAGTATAGAACGCTGGTCAGTGAATGAGATTTTCGGCAATTAGATGAAAAACGCTGGGAACCGATTGAAAAGTCACCGTTTTCGGAAGTTTGGTAACAATCGGTAGATTTATTGCTAAGCAAAATTTCACTTTTGACACAAAAGCTTCGTCAGGCCAAGTGACTAGATTACGAGGTTGGTCGAGATTTTAGGCGGAAGGAGATCCAATCAGCTAAGTCAAACTAAATCTCTGTTAGGTCTTGACCGAGGGATTTTGTGTGTTAGGGGGCGTGACCAAGTGTTAGGCCGGTGGGGAAACCTACATAGATTTGGGTCCAGTCTAAAGTTTGGTTCTTCTGGTTGCCCAGCAACAAAGCTACCGATTGTTACCAAACTTTTCCGACGAGATTTTAGGCAATTCGACTAGGTCGTTAACCATGAAACTCATTGCCTTTCGGACTCCAGCCACGGAGCCGTACAACGTTCGGTTTCAGTCTTTTAGCATCGACGTTCAATATCGTCCGCCGTTTCCAGGTTGTTTGTTCTCAATCTGCTCCTGAACCCGATCCAGTCAAAGCAAATAAAACAGATAAGAGGGATTGGTCAAGCGGAATTCATAGGACATATTCAGGTTTCTGTAAGTGCCGTTCTGTAATAAACCCTAACAAGTCTTCCCACTGCTGCACAAAACGCACTGGGGAATTCCTCACAGTAGCTACAATCAAACGCAAGAGATGATTCGTAAAAACAATGTTGAATGCGCATAGAGGTAGGATATCTCCGACTCGAACAAGCCGGTCTTCTGATCTATAGAGAAGCACTGCTCGAACTGCCATGCGTTAATAGTCTCCTTAATAGATTTTGCAGACCGATAAACACCACTCTGGCCTTTGATATCCAGCTGACATGTAACTTACAGTGTGGAAAATAATCAACCGGTTCGGAACCAGCAAGTTAAATTTTGGTGGTAATTAAGAGCCATTGGTCCAACTGAGTCCATGACTGTCTTGTGGTTGGTAGTTTCCAAGTAACTCGATGAGAGTTAATGTTGCAAGTTCGTACTTGCCAGGAGCAGACAATGGTCTGTACACAACTGAAATTCTTCCCCATTATTCGTAAGTTGAACAACAACTCCATTTTCACTATCTAGTTGTGTTGCTCCCGGGCTTAATCATCGAACCTGAGCGTTCGTATCAATCGCTAGGATGATTATACCTGTTCTTTGTGCTGACGGTAGCAGTAAAACCCGTCTTCCTCAGAGCAGGGACTGCAGTCTTTTAGAGAGCATGCTTACGCGACACCGTTTGGCGCATCGACCCACGCCAATCCTGATCGAACCAGACAAACATACAGCGAAAATGCGACTGTTTACTGGGATCCGGTCAAGTAAAGTGCCTTCAGCTTTGGGTCCGAGTGCAAGTCCCACACTGTGGATACCATGATCCATCGGGTTAGGATCACTAGATACTCGGCACTAAAATGAACTTTCACAGAAAAACCAGAAGTTCTATTTGCTGACATTAACCGGAGTACGCCGTTTATCAACCAGCAGAAGGGAGACACCTAGGCAGTTGCCTTGGTTTGGTTTTTGATAAAGGAAACAAGCTGTTGTGTGCTAGGACCAAGATCACTTCCTCTTCAGTAGTAACGGTTGTAACCTGGGTCGTCGCCATGCTACCTGGCGCGGCATACGGTCCTATGCATCCACACAAACTAATCACATTAGCTACAAATGGCGAGGTTGTGTTCAGGACTGCTACACCCATTAGTATGCACCGAAATTCTGACAACTTTTGGTGCATGCACAACCACAAGATAAAAGCACCACAGGAGAGATTGCCTAATCAAGCTGTTTATCACCAAGCCGGAAGGGCCTTGAATCACACTGGGCAAACATAGCAGAGCGTGATATACACAGGAGCGTTAAACAGGTGTTTGAAACAAGCGGCGTGCGTATTGGATCTCTGTCAAATCGTTCCAGTTGCTTGACATGAGGAGCTGTCATCAGTATGCAGAATAATCCAACCCTATTATTAACGAGTAACATCACCAACCGCCTCCAAGGTGACTCAGGATTATGAGAGCGAATGTGCTGCAGTACCCGGGAACGCCCAGAAGCTATTCCACCTCATCGATACCACTGATGCTAAACGATACGATAGATCCAGCCGGAATTCAGTTGAATCTTCTGATAAAATCAACCCAGTCGCTAATGTTGGGGACGTGCTAGCTTCTGCTAGCCTCTGTTCCCTAGAACCTGGTGTGACGAAATCGCTTCCCACCCTAGACTGGATCTATAATCGTCCGGATATTCAAAAAAAAAGTCCGTAGTGCAACTAAAGACGGTCTCGCCTTATGTCAAATACATCCCAACTCCTGACCTCAATTATTCTTTGCAGGGTAATTAACTGGCGTGAAGACAAAATAAGAGCAACGAGCGGACTTTAACCCTGGTCGAGGTTGCACTGATCAAATTTCCACCCCTCACCAGACTCTAAAACACTGTCGCATCTACCAGCAACTAACAATCGTGACTTTCTGTACAAATGTTCGGCTATCGATTCTGTTGACCGTCCATATGGGTATAAGGTGCTGGACATATAGGTCGTTGGCAGTAAGGAGTTATACGACGAATTCTACAGGGAATAGGGACAACGGAGGCTGTAATGTGGGACAGGTCATTTGAAGCTATCGGGGGTTAATTTTGTTTAATTTTACTGAACAAACTTGTATTTGGGGCAGCGATTAGGTGGTTGGCAGCTAAGTAAATGGGGAAGGCCCAATTGGAAGAGTGGGAGAGGTTGATAAACAAAAGGTAGTGACACTTCCCGGTTATCCAGGCCGATGGTGGTTGGCCAGGCTAACCTTAAATTAAAGGTTTCACTCACTGGTCAATAGCAAGACTTGTCCCCTGGTGCCAGACTAAAAAGTCTGAAACGCGAGACAATGGCTGTCAGATTTTTATGGCCCTGAAACCAGTGACTCAATGCTCCAGACCACTTGGTTACAACAGGCTGCTCTGGTTCAACGGTGCCGTCAATAAGGGAGAGGAGCCTGAGTGAAGTAGCCGCGCATGGCAGATGCCTCACTGGGTTCGTGGATAGGTTTATCTGTCGGGGCAGGATGGAGTAGTGGTTAGAGCGCGAATTTCCTGGTCGTAAGGTCTGTGGTTCGAACCCGAACTCTGCCTCATGACTTCCCCTGTCTGGGCTTGGGCAATCTGGCAGTATCACAGCCCTTCAGGTGGCATGGCAGCTATGCACCGAAAGGGTGTTACGAACCGTCATAATATGCCGGCGGCCAGAATACCGGCGATTGGGATGTATACATTTTAGATCCGACCTTTTCTAACCTACCTTCATTCATAGACCAACGCCGCTGAATCGATACACACGGAGACGCTGATCGCCCACACTCCTGCTACGGCATGCCTCCACGCCGCTCTATAAAGCAACTTCTCCCAGTAGGAGACCGGCTATTCTTCATCGGTTCACTTTATTTTGGCAGTCCCGGGACGTAGCTTTAAGGGACGGTGTTCCAGCGAACGTAATTTCGATTAAAAATGTGACACATTTTGTAGCTAATGTTTCAGATACTGGCTGTTACCACTGAACCTATTTTTCTACTGATAGCAATATGATCAGTTTCCACAAAATTCTGTGCCCTCCGTGAAAGGCCCAAGAATTTAAATATGAAAGCCAGTTTCACTATCAACACGTCACTGAGGAAAGCACTCTTAAGCCCCTTTCATTCTGAGGGAATCTTCAAGGTATAAACCTTGGATAAGCCCGCAGATTTGAATCGTCGGTCTGCATTCTTCTACGGTTTAAAAACGAGACATAGTTTCGTATCCAGACGCACGTCTTAGGTCTCCATTCACCATCATCACAAAATACAACCTGCCATTGGAATGGCACTCGGCCGCTCAAGACACGTACTACTGGTGTGCCCTATGGGACTGGAGTATTCATTATTTCCGACAAGTTGGTTCACTGGACTAGCAAGCGCACCGAGACCCGCCACTGCAGGTTACCCTGAATTAGTAGATTATGTGCAGGGAAGATATAAAAAACCTTTTTACGGTTCGGTGAGTTATTGTCTGAGCGAAACCAGTTTATCCGAAGAGTTCCGAGTTAAGGAGTGAGTCCAACCTTTGAATACCAGTAACAACCCAGTAAGACTTGGCGGTTGACTGGGATCGTCTCTGGCAGCCAAGACATAATATCTACCCATCCATTACAGAAAGCGAACTTACTGTACTGTTGGACACTTACTCCTCTAGCGTGATATCGTCTAGGATGAAGTCGTTTCGGGAACGCCGTATAAGCTTCCAGAGGAAAGATCGGAATAGTTTTCAAGTGTAATTTGGACATCACAGGGGCTGCTCAGCGATCAGCAGGCATAAGCCTTTTCCCGTGAATAATATGAAAATCGACACGGCAAGAGACCAATCGAGTACTGTCAAGATGCGCTATCGATTACCTCATAAAAGGCACATCGTAAACTAGGTGCAGAACTTTATAACACTTTATCATACAGTTGACCGAAGTTGCCTACTATTTGTGTCCTTATGGTATATTGGAAGGTCTTCGAATGTCACTTTCCCATATGAATTCTATGGGAATTCCCTAACGGTTGAGATAATTTACACAAAGATTCCTTGGAAAACTTTGTAAGTCGCACTCAACTGCAAGCACACATGTTTAAATAATCCCGTCGACACTCACCTTGTCCAGCTTCCTTGTAAATCAGTTCACGCTTTTGGCTTTCGTTCTCATTTTTCCCGCGGCGACGGTTCTTTCCACCTTTCCCTATAATCCACAAACGTTAATAAATAATCGCGTTCAACACAATGCGATAACAGGGCAGACGGTAGCCCAACACACCTTTATTTTTCGGCATCACTCAGAGTGCGTCGAACACTTCAAAATTCCCGCAATTTGTGCCGCACGTGCTGTAGGACAACAGATTCCAATCATTGGTTGTACCTACAAATGAGAAGCTGAGGGCTCGTAGAGTGGGTATGTTTGTGTTACGCCCGCTCGTATGCGTGTAAATAGGGCTTAATGTGGCCTAACCATTGCCACTTAGGGTGACTTGCCAGAGGTAACGACAACCAAGAGAGAACGAGTTGCGACCACATGGTATGCACGGGCATCACGGGTTACCGGATTCATGGACTAACGGATAGGATCGAGTCTTTCACCAAGGTTTCCCTGGTCGGGTATGTCCATGTATTTCAGCGGCCTCCTTCCACCTGAAGGCCCCAAACGAAAAATGGCGATATGGGCTTTCGAGCGAAAGAGAAACAATTGGATGCAATTGATGTTGGATGGGCGAGTGAGGGACATCCTTCATTGAAAGGGGAAATCATGGCACAAAGGCCTTACCAAGGTGGTGTTTGAATGTAGTGGATGAGAGAGGCGTTGGAGTAATGGATCCTTGGATTTTATTACACAGGATAAATCTGACCAGGATTAGAAGCTTCGCCTCGAGCATATCACGAAGCATTGGAAGTAGAGTTGATGGTGGGTTGGCCGAGATGAAGGGGTAAAGGCAGAAGGTAGCTTGGGACAGTTTTGCAATGACAACAACAGAGGAGATTAAAGCTGAGTGGGTTAAATTCAGAAGAGAGATGACCAAAATGATACCAATAAGAGAATTTTTCACTGGCACTCCGTCGAATATTCTTATCTGAATGTTTATCACATCGGGGCAAGTGGGCTGCAGAACGTTGAACTGCTGGGGGGTGAGGTAGACAAGTAGTGGATAGAAATGGGATATGTTACGTTCCACAATACTGATGGAGTTTCGGAGCGGAAACCGGATCATTTTGGTGGCTATTTTGGCGAGATTAAGATATCGCATGAGGGCGACCTGGAACCACCCAGACAGTTCATTATATGTTATTCCAGAACGATAACCGTGTAAGGCCCGCATATCCCGGGTAGGGCTAAGTGGAAACCTGTATTTTCGGAGAAAGCCTTGTGCATAATTTGATGGGACCTAAAGAAGGACGATTACCTTTGGTAAGTTAGAAAATCGTTGGACCGTTCTTGACGACTTGGAAGGGTTTGAATTTCTGAAGGGTGAACCAATAACGGTGCGTACAGATCAAGGCCGTTAAATAATCATCAGGACCACCGCTTGCATACCTGAATTCTAAATAGAATATCCCCCTACTGCTGCCTGCAAATTGGTAAGATATAGGATTACTTAGATAATAGGGGATAAGACCAGTGATGTCATAGACTCCTGGAGTTGGTCGTTGACGTTTGACAGATTGGAGAAAAATATGACGAGTTCGCCGGTGGTGAAGGAGTTGGAATATGTTGAGGCTTAACCCTAGTAAACAGTCTGTGCGACATGAGAAAATCCAGTGTATTAGGGTCACTACTCATCAACGAATTCACAATCGATTTCGCTATTTTCTGCCTTCAAAGATCAAATGGATTATCGTCTGTCCTCAGGACCGTAGGAAGTAAATGGAGAAAAACAATTTTGAAAATAAGAGAGCGTGATGGAGACCGACAAAAGGCGCATTTCCTGAAAGTATCAAGATGATTTTCAACAGCACAGAATCACACAGGGACACACGACGTTTCACTTAAAATCAATAATCGCTGAGATGGAATTGCGACAAAGTCTTAATCGGTTGTCACAATCCGTCTTGCACCTTTTCCGCGTACGGCGGTTTAATGCGAAGCAATTCCTGTTAAAGATCCTGCGTGAGTATCCAAAGTAGTTTCTTCGCTCCGAAGTGTCATGGATGCGCACGGCCAGTCCCGTGGAGTGCTGATGCGGAAGGTGTTGCCGCCATTGGGGTAACTTCGAAATACTCGCAAGAGGGATGAAGCAGGCTCCGTTGGACAGGCTTATTTGTGGAGTGGCAGATGCCACATGAATGCGCGCCTAATTATTTGGCACAGAGGCCAGCACAACTTCCATATTTATGTCCCAGAGTTAATTCTCCACATATGTTGACGCCACCGTTTACAGCCTGAGGTGAAGATGAAAACGGCCAGTATATTGGGCTCCTTCCTGGATGAATCATTAGAATGGGCAGTAGATAATGGTGATGGATAAACCGGTTTGGGAATGAAAGATGACAAACTCTTCGAGACAAGATTACTTAGAGCATGCTGACGGCCGAAAAATCCTGAGACATATGCCGTCTTCGGGGGGTGCAACGATTGAATTTTTGTTCGCCTGTATCCTGCGATATCTCCAAAATGGGGGACAGGATGTTAGTCCGCAACTGTGTATGTAGAAGTGAATGCAAGCGATGCTGTTACCCACTATTTTCCAAGACTAAATTTGTGGTAATGTATCATGTGACGGTTTTCTGCTGCCGCACTCGTGCTCACGGGCGAATTGTTTGTTCTTGTTACTCAGTATGACTGGCGGTTCTGGGGGGATCTGCACTCGTGTTTCATATAGACCGGTCACTATATGAGAAGCTGCTCAATCTCATGAGTGACGTACTGTACAAGCTGTAGTAAGTGCTGTTAATCATAACTTTGGGGATGCATGAGAATGGTGGTTCAATATAACTTTTCAAAACTGCCCACCTGAGAATTGACACATAGGCCCGGCTTTAAACGAGGCAAACGGATCCAGTGAGGCGGAAATGAGTGTGCCTTTTGTGAACGTTGATCTATTCAGCAAAGTGGGACGTGCTTTGAGGGGGAATGCTGAAGTAACACAGATTGCTTGGGTATTCGTTACGCCCCGGAAGATGAGGAACCTACCGGCTTTTTATTCATTGAGTTCAGTTTAATAGTGCAACTTTTTTCGCAAAATTCGATGTTCGTGAGCTCCCATTGTGAAATTGGAGATAAGCAAGCTAGTTTAAGGCGAATCTCTGCACGCGCGTAGACGCCCAACAAGATATGAACCACGCGGTTGCGTGTGCACAAGGATGGTTGCTTGCGCGAATCACCTCCACTGCCCTGTGCGATGAAAAATACCCGGCGAGTGCTCAGCTGCCCCCTGACGCGGCATATCCGATGGCTCTTATAAAGAGGTGTTCAGGTAATTGCTTGTTCCCCACAGGTCGCCAGTTTTTGAAAGGTCAGGCAAACACATTCTTGCAGTGAAAATTTTGTGTATCGTACGCTGTTTTGGCGGTCGAACAGTTTTTCAGCGTTTACCTGGGGAGCAACGCGGCAATAAGTGACCGGCAAATAGCTGGCCGCATCTCTACTCACAGGGCGAGGTCAGGTAGTTTACAACTCTGTCCTTCAGCAGGTTTAGATCACCTATTACGGTGGTCTGTTGATCGTTATTGGACAGTTATGGTCGCAACTTTACCCATTCTGAAGTCAGCGCTGGTGGCAAATGAATCCCAGTCCTCGAACTCGAACACGCCTGCGATGAAGCGTATTTGTCTTTCGTTGGCATCGACTGGCTTCATGATGTTGAAGCGGAATGTGAAACAGTGAGATGTATCTGACGATGAGGTTGGGGAAGCACGAAATGCAAACAATTCTCTAGACGTTTACCGGTAATTCTACCATCATACGCAAAATAGTGGAAGCATATGTTACGGCTATCTGCTTTCTGAGTTTGAGTCACGCGTGCCAATCCAGGAAAACGACCAAGAAATCCGAATTCTGGAATCACGGTACTATTGCAAATATAATAATATACATATTCAACAAACCTCAACGGATTCTCCTCTGCAGATACCGTAGGGTTACAAAAATAGGGCGGCACAATTACCAGCCTGAGGATAAAGCGCAGATCACTACGCCTCAAAATCGATATCGTCACAACCAAACAGATATCGACGGCGAGCGACCGCAAAATCACAATGTCCGACCAAAGTCCGTAAGAGTTATAAAAATAGTTCAGTAAAACAAGGTTTCAGTTCATGTGGTCAAGGGGAATAAATATGGGGATTGGATGTCACTTGGGGTTGGAAACGGGAGCACACTGTTGACAAGCTGTCTTCTACAGCATATCCATTGGAGCCTTTGCTGCGCCTACCGTGAGCACAGCAAGAACGACTGGACTTCATTAGTTCTGATTGACACGGTGGAAAACCCACTATCATCTCTTCTTAGTTCCAGAAAAGAGAAACTGATGGACTTATTTTACGTATTACTTCGTATTACCACACGTACGTATTGCCATTGATTTCCACCAGACGATTTAATGATGATAATAATGAATTACTGACCATATACCTCCGACACAGTTGAACATTCATTAAGTACTGTAGTGACACAAATGTGGGGTCGTAGAATCGTAGGAAAGTAAGACAGCTCTATAATACCTGACTGTGCCAAAAGTGGTATGATCGGATCATTATGTTCTAAAAATGGAGGAAAGCCGAACATCCGCGACTGACATGACGCGAAGTTTTGACCGAGGGCGAAGAAACGCTTTGCTGTTGGAAACCACATTACTGAGGCACTTTGGATCTGACGCTCGGGATTATAAGTGCCGATTATTTATCTGCATAACCGGGGCCAGCACTGGGAAGCGATGTTTTGGCAGAGATTACGGTGGCATAGACCAGACTCTGCTATTGCCGAAGAAGTGGTAATTGTGCCAAACCTGCTTTGCAGGCATTCCCGGCCTCATGTAGATAGGCCGGGATGTGTCGTGTTGCTGGTTCTCCTCATTCGTGAGGTGGATCTTTGCGTCTTCCACGGTAGAACCAATCACGGTGGGCGAATCTGCGGAACTGGCATGTTTGTTGTTTAGGCGAGATATAGGATGTAGGACTGGGTTGATTTCAGTTGTAGTTTTGATGGACAGTGCATCGCGCGTGGAATGCTTGCTTTCAAAATCTTAACAAAGATGGCATGCAACAGCCCACTTACTTTCTCTGCTTTTTGGCTATTCTTAAATCTATGCTCATATGAGGTCATGAATTAAAATCCCAACAAATTCACCCAACCCACTAACAAGTGGGCGTGTCCGC